GCCGAGTTGCATGAACAACTCGTCGAGTTCATCTTCATCCGATGAACACTTTATGCTAAGACTCGCCGAGTTATATGAACAACTCGCCGAGTCTGTTCTTGATCTATGAAGATTGCCTTGGACTCGCCGAGTCAGGGCATTGACTCGCCGAGTCCTAACATGGGTGAGTTCAGCTCCCAACTCACCGAGTCACCCCCTGTGACTCATGGCTCAACTCGACACATGAAGAAGGGACCAAATCGGTGACTCGCGACCAGACTCGCCGAGTCACCTATGCGACTCGCCGAGTCGTCGCCATGCATCCACCAAATACACAGATTTACTTGGTTTCAGTCCATGCCATTCATAGATCTGGATTTCTAGGACACAAATCACACGTAAAGTTTCCAACTTTACGTGTGGACATTCACTAATGTGGATTTTAGGGTGCAAAATGCCTCAAAAGGGTAGATCTAGGATGAACAAGCCACATGGGGCCATAAAGCTCACAGATTTGAGCTCCTGGAGCTCAATATTGCCTAGATCTAAAGGTTAGTCCACTTATTACGAGTCCTTAAGCACAAACAAGCTTGGAGAATTGCTCAAGAGTGTCCCAAATGACATCCTAAGCATAGAAACAGGGGAAAACGAGATATACCTCAAGGAAAATGTTGAAATGACACAAAGATGGCCGATCTCCTTCTCCTCTTCTTGATCTACTCCTCTTTCTCCTCAAAACCTTCAAGAACACACCAAGAACACCTCAATCTCTCAAGGAAACAAGGGAAAACGATGTTGGGGGAGTTCTGGGGGTGAATGGGGACGAGTTGGGGCGGAATGAGAGTTTAAATAGGGTGCAAACCCTTGAAACTTAGGGTTTCATCCAGCAGCGGTGACTCGCCGAGTCCAGGATGTGGACTCGCCGAGTCGCCTACTTAAAACGTGTCCTGAGTCTCGTCCCTACTCGGCGAGTCGGACCCTATGACTCGCCGAGTCCAAGGCTAAATTAGGGCAATGCTCAAATAAAATTCACATACCGGAAACCAGGTGCTACAACCGGAGGGTCCAACCCGAGTTGTGAGAACGGAGGATCCTCATTGAGACACATGAGCCAGAGGGTCTTGATGAGATATAGCCATGAGAGGCTAATTATTTTCGTGTGGTATTTTGGGGAACTCACTATGCTTCGTGTTTACCGTGTTGTGTGATATGTGTTTCGGGTACTTCTCAGGATTGCGGGAAGGCTCCGACTTAATTGTACACACCAGTTAGAGATAATGATGTTGAGGATTCTGGGATTTTTAATAAACATTTGTTGAATTGTGTTTCAACAACTTATATATTTTGTGGTCTTTTTGGAAATGTGATATTGAGTTATGTGATTTTAAAAATGAAAAATTTATTTGTAATTTTACAGTGTTATAGGATAGAAGCCCATGCGTGGAAGCCGACGTGGCATCCTAAAGACTAGTGAACACCACCCTAAGGGTTGGTGGCTTGGGTGTGGCGTGAGTGCAAGGACTGGCCAAGATATCCAATCACAAATAATCAACAAGAGTATGGCTTTCATCTATTTTCTTTTTAATTGTAGTTACATATATGGTTCCTAAAAATGTATCTTTGTTTCTCGTTATACCCTTATATTTATCTTTAAATTAAATTAATCTTTCGACTCTCTCTCTCTCTCTCTCTCTAAATATATATATATATATATATATATATAAGGTTTATTTTTCTATGTTTTTAATATATATATATATATATTGTGTGTGTGTGTGTGTTCTAAATTAAGTTTCTATTTAATTTAATAATAAAAAAATAAAAATAAAAAAAAGATAATGGTGAAGTGGTGACCATTTTCTATATGTACTAGGTTGGTGGTGAAGATGATGTGGAGCAGAGGTGACACACTTTTTCGGTGGGTTGGAGGTGACCAATCCCACAGCCTTAATGTGTATGTTTTTTACACACTTTCCAAGCAGTATGTACAAGATCATACATATTAAGTTTTTGAAAACTTATTTCAAAGTGCTATTAACAAGAATCTAAGGCTCTGATACCATTGTTGAATAATAAGGTGTTCTTCTTCTTCTTCATAAGAAAATAGTTAATTAAAAAGTAAAAAATAAGCATTTAAGTCAAGAACGTATATAACTAAACATTAGATCATGATTATTTCTATTAATAGAAACCCTAACCCTAAAAAGAGGTTTACGAAATGCCTTTAAGAAATGCGAATAAGATTGAGGAACTCAAACAAGAGTCCTTTGATAGGATCATAACCCTTAACCAGCAAACAAGCAAGAATCCCTAGCTTTGGAGACTTGAGAATTTTGACCACCAAGAAACATGTGTTTTGTTTTCTTCAGGTTCTTGTTACCCAAAGATGAGGAGAGGAAAAAGGGTGGACGACTTTATGGTTTTGAATAGACCCTTGAAACCCTTATGTGTGAGAATATTATCATTTCTAAATTTGAATCAAGGATAATTTATTTTATTCGTTAGTAATTATCCTTTAGAATTAACTATTTTGTATTCAACTAATTTATATAAATCTTTTAAGCATAATTATTTAGTTTCCACCAATTAATTTCTAAATATTAATTAACAATTTAAAAAATAGTAATTAATTACAATACTTCCAATTATTTTTAGACACTCATTAAATAATAAATTAATTCCCTCTTAATTTGTTTGTTAATGTTTTTATCTTGGGTCAAGTGGGTAATCCATATAGGCTCATGTAATTAATTTGGATACCAATATGTTGTGTAGGGGCCATATCTCCAACAATATAAGAGTCCAAAAAAGAAAATGAGAAGATTACCCCAATAATATATAAAAATAAAAAGAACCATCAGTTATCCTTTATACAATAGAAATAAGAAACATGAAAAGAAAAATATTAAAGCCACAACACTCTTATCACCCTCTTCGGGCGACAAACAATTGCACTTTTTTTTTTTACGTTTCCAGTTATATAACCCTTCGAGCTCTTTTTTCAAGGATAGATGAACCACAAGGATGATGTGGAAAAGAAATATTGTAACAAAAAGATTGATGAAGTGAAGTGCATCATTTAGGAACTTATTGAAATGGAATGGTTGTCGATGAACAACTTTTCAAACATCCCCTTGAGGAACCTTTTTAATTAAACTTGTACGCAAAAAACCTACATAAATAAATATGATGTTGTTATGGATGTGTCATGTATTTAAAGTTTTGTAATAATGTTGGGAATGTTTCATGATATCAAAAAAAAATAAAAAATATACTTACATGGTTGTATCTTGCAAACAACAAAGTTATGGGAGTCTAATAATTAGTTGGGGGTGGAGGAGAACCATAGATGTATACGGGCGAAGAGGTGATTTTACTGGTGGAAGGGGAGATATGTAGTGGTAAGGAGGTGGTGGTGACTTAACCGGTGGTGGGGGTGATGTGTAATGGTATGGGGTGGTGGAGATTTCATAGGTGGTGGAGGTGATGTGTAGTGGTAGGGTGGCGGTGAGGACTTAACTGGTGGTGGGGAGAGGTATAGTGGTAAGGCGGAGGTGGGGATTTAACTGGTGGTGGAGGTGATGTATAGTGGTATGGTGGTGGTGGGGACTTAACTGGTGGTGGTGGAGAGGTGTAGTAGTATGGAGGTGGTGGAGATTTCACAGGTGATGGAGGTGATGTGTAAGTGGTATGGTGGTGGTGGGGACTTCACAGGTGGTGGTGGAGAGGTGTAATGGTACGGTGGTGGTGGAGATTTAACTGGTGGAGGAGGCGATGTGTAGTATATTGTGGTGGTGGGACTTAGTTGGTGGAGGAGGTGAGGTGTAATGGTATGTGGTGGTGGGGACTTAACTGGTGGTGGTGGTGAGGTGTAATGGTATGGAGGAGGTGAAGATTTCATGGGTGGTGGAGGTGATGTATAATGGTAAGGTGGTGGTGGGGATTTAACCGGTGGTGGTGGTGATGTATAGTGGTATGGTGGTGGTGGTGACTTAATTGGTGGTGGAGGTGAGGTGTAGTGGTATGGGGGTGGTGGAGATTTCATTGGGGGTCGGGGTGATGTGTAGTGGTATGGTGGTGGAGGGGATTTTACCGGTGGAGGAGGTGAACTGTAGTGGTACGGTGGGGGTGGAGATTTCATTGGTGGTGGTGGTGATGTGTAATGGTAAGGTGGTGGAGGGGATTTTACAGCGGGGGAGGTGAAACGTAATGGTATGGTGGCGGTGGAGTTTTCATGGGTGGAGGTGGTGAAGTGTAGTGATATGGTGGGGGAGGCGATTTCACTGGTGGAGGTGATGTATAGTGGTATGGAGGTGGTGGTGACTTAATAGGAGGTGGAGGTGATGTGTAATGGTATGGCGGTGATAGAGATTTCACTGGTGGTGGAGGTGATGTGTAGTGATAAGGTGGGGGTGGTGACTTCACCGGTGGTGGAGGTGATGTGTAGTGATAAGGTGGGGGTGGTGACTTCACCGGTGGTGGTGGTGAAGTGTAATGGTATGGTGGTGGTGGAGATTTCACTGGTGGTGGTGGTGAAGTGTAATGGTAAGGTGGGGGTGGAGATTTAACTGGTGGTGGAGGCGATTTGTAGTAGTATGGGGAAGGTGGTGATTTCTTAGGCGGTGGGGGTGATGTGTAATGGTACTTGGGAGGAGTCTTCACTGGTGGTGGGGGAAGTGTAGTGGTATGGTGGTGGGGATTTTACCGGTGGGAGGAGATGTGTAATGGTATGGGGGAGGTGGTGATTTCTTGGGTGGTGGGGGTGATGTGTAGTGGTATGGAGGAGGTGGTGATTTCTTAGGGGGTGGGGGTGAAGTGTAGTGATATACGGAGGAGACTTAACGGGTGGAGGAGGAGACTTGTACAAGTAAATGGGTGGCGGTGGTGGTGGAGATTTGTAATAATATGGAGAAGGAGTGGGCTCTAGTTTTGGCTTTGGCTTCTCACAAAGCGTAGAAGGAGTCTTAGGAGCATATGCAAATGGTTCAGCCTCAAGGACAACCTCATAAGCATTTTTGGATTTAACCTTTAGCACGGCACCCTTCAAACCACCATGAAGATTTGTTGGAATATTGCATTTGGTTCCTTTTGGTGCCATATGAAGCTTAGCGGTACAAGCTTTTGCTCCTCCATACTTGGAATAGTCTAAACCGTCAACCGTAATTGCATATTTGCCATTGATCTTAGTCTTTCCATATGCAAAAATTTCTTTCTGGCCAATAGCCTTGCAAGTAATTTCGACAACCGCACCTTTTTCAACACAAATAAAAAAAAAAGTCAACTTCATTTATATTTTTGGTCCACCTTTTGTAATATACCGGTTACTACAAAATTAAAACATGTTATGCTATGCATGATATGATTTCGGGTATAAATACTTAAATTAAATAAATATTATTAACTGTTATTCAAAATAATCATAAATATATAACTTATAATGTAGCCTTTCATAAAATGAATATGTTGAAACCTTAGCATGGTATCTTTATTTATTTTTATTTTTTTTGAAGTATTATAATTTATATGGTAATGGTATAATAAGTAATCAATATATGATTATATGTCTTAACAAGTTAACTCAAAATTGAAATTTTAGAAAATTAAAGTTTCATTTTCTCGGAAATATACACATCTTTCATTTTGATGTTTTTTTTTTAAATTTTAAAATGCAAGATAGTAAACGAATAAAATCAAAAGATAAGATAGATATTTTCTGAACATTAATTGTCTATATGTCTAAATGTATCGTTAGGTAAAAGAGATGTAGAAAACCAGAAACATAGAACATGGGTCAACCATAAAAGAACATGCACACACATCAAAGTCATATATATAAAACAGTTAAGGTAGTGCGAGAAACTAAAGTTTATACCTTTGAGGTGATGCTTGGCGTGTGATTTAATTGGGTATTTCCAGTCATAGCAGCTGTAGCAGTAAACTTTGCCAACGACCTTTACGATGAGTTTCTTGTGGTGAGGGTAAGGTACGGGGTAGTAGGATTTTGGTGGTGGTGGAGAAGTGTAGTAATAGTGTGGGGGAGACTTTGTTGGTGGCGGTGGGGATTTGTAGTAGTAAGGTGGTGGTGGAGAATGCACCGGTGGAGGTGGAGACTTGTAGTAGTATGGTGGTGGTGGTGATTTAACTGGAGGTGGTGGAGACTTGTACAAATATGGTGGTGGTGGTGAATGCACCGGTGGAGGTGGAGACTTGTACAAATATGGTGGTGGTGGTGAATGCACAGGTGGTGGTGGAGACTTGTACAGATATGGTGGTGGTGGTGATTTTACCGGAGGTGGTGGAGACTTGTACAAATATGGTGGTGGTGGTGAATGCACCGGTGGTGGTGGAGACTTGTACATATATGGTGGTGGTGGTGAATGCACCGGTGGTGGTGGGACTTGTACAGATATGGTGGTGGTGGTGAATGCACCGGTGGTGGTGGGGACTTGTACAGATATGGTGGTGGTGGTGAAGAATAGATATAAGGATCAGCCGAGACAGCTATAAGGTTAGCAACACCAAAGACGGTTAATGCGATGACTATAGGCCATAAAGGGGCCCTTAACGGGACACCGGTGGTAACTCTCATGGCTCACCCGTAGTTAGAGAGGATGGGGTTGAGGGAGGGAGGTTATGCTTTTGGATATAAAGCTGAGAGGTATAAATAGCAAGTAACACGAAGAGAATATGTCAGTAATTTGTATATTAAAACACTTGTCAACGCTGCCAAGGCCACTAGGCCACATTCTTTTTTTTAAGCGCTCGTTCTCAAGAGTACTCGGACATTTATTTGGGTTGACATTAAATTTATTTTATCTCAAGCTTAACCTTGAACTATTCAATAAACGAGCTTTATATATTTGACTTGTTTTCATTTCAATAAGCAGTCACTGCGAATCAGAATATACACACCTTAATGTTAGACCATGATTTGATTTTACATTGTTTTAAAAATAATGTTCAAGGCATTTAAGGATTGAGACTACTGTGAAGGTTTGACATTCAAAAAGATAAATTTCGAAGGATATGGTTTCTGTGTCTGTATTAAGTGATTAATATAATTCTTTTGTCTGTTTGCGTTTGTACTGGTGCATTTATTTATAAATTGAACTTTATTAAGTGCATAGAGTTTAAATGGAAAAGGCATTGTTTGTATTTATCACCATAAACTTACAAACTTGAGTGCTTATTTCTCTTAGCTAGTGAATAGTAGACCAAGGATAGAGCTATCCTGGGACTCTTTCCTAATTTCAACGTGGTTTCTTTTATAATTTAGTAGTTTACCCTTCAGTAATATATCATATGCTAAAAAAGTTCGAAATTAAAATGTATATGATACATTTTATCACTTGGTAAAACTCCTAAACAAAAACGGTATAAAACATATATACATTAGAAAAGTAGGAAATAAATAACGTTATTTCACATGTCAAATATATATTTATAATATTATCTTTCACATATATTTGGATGCTAATTAAACATAAGAAAACTTTAAGCTGTAAAAGTTGTGATGTACTACTTATAATACACCCTTACGGAGACTCCCATTTTTACTTACTTTCCTAACACATACAAAAAGTGATACTAATTATTTTAAATGGATTTATTTTTTAAAACCATGTGTCATGCTCCTGATGTGTGGTGACACTTGAATGAATTTTCTTAATCAGCTTTTTCTCAGTAAACCCAATTGGAGAGGATTAGTGCGATTGATACGATCAAACTAGGTGCAACACTTGCACTTTTCGAGTGAGTGCCCGCTCCGGTAGAAGAGAAGGAAGAAACTATGAAATTACGGATAATACGTGAAGAAGGAGAAGAAGTTTTAATTGTATTACTTATCGATACAAAGAACATTCAAGGGTATTTATGGTACATATTCAGCTAACTATTGAGAGATAATAGGAATTATACAACAGAATTTGACTGAAAAATACATGTGATAAATTTGATAAAATAAGTTGATGTATATCGGATTATATCTCGATATGCCCCCGCAAGATGGATGATCCAGAGAGAAGACCAAACTTGGATATTAGATATTGAAAGCATGGTCTTAGTAGGGGTTTGGTAAAAGCATCTGCCACACGGAGAGTGCCTTGTTCACCGAGTGAAAAACTGGGTTTGCTGTATATGAAGTTGCACTTAAGTTATCACAGTAGATGGTAGGGATGATTTCCAATGAGTAACCAAGTTCACTAAGTAAAGTTGTAAGCCATTGAACTTTTGTGTCGTAGAAACAACTCTAAATTCAACTTCAGTAGAGCTTCTTGCAAGGGTACTTTGGTACTTTTGAGCTCCATCAGATAGGATAAGAGCCAAGATAGGCTATGTAACCGATGCTACTTCTGTAATTATCTTTGTCTCCAACCCAATCCGCATCAGTGAATGCATGGAGTGTTAGTGGTGAGTTATGACGCAATCTTATTCCGTGATATAGAGGGCAATGTGAGTATCATCATAAGTTTTTGATAGCTATCCAATGGAGAAAACTTTGTGCATGCTAAAATTGTGTAAAGTGATTCATAGTCAATGAGATATCAGTTCTGGTTAAGGACAAGTATTGCAGTGCTCCAACTAGTGTACGATATTCAGTTGGAGAAGGGTGAAGTGAGCCACCTTTTAACGTGAGAGTTGTAGAAGCCGTTATTGGAGTGGAAATTGGTTTGCAATCCCTCATATTGGCTTTTGTGAGAATATGAAGGATATATTTACGTTGAGAAAAGAGAATACCATGAGAGTGAGGAATCACTTCAACACCTAAGAAGTATGAGAGAGTACCAAGATCCTTTAAAGAGAATTTGTTGTAAAGATGATTGACAAAATTTGAGAGATGAGTGGGAGATGACATGTGACAATTATGTCATCTACGTAGACGAGGACGAGAGGAAGTGATGATTCAGTTTTGAGAATGAAGAGTGAGGGATCAAATATGGTGGGTTTGAAAGCAAGAGAAGTGAGATATGATTTTAGTTCAGCATACCAGGCACGAGAAGCTTGGCGTAACTTCTAGATGGCTTTATTGAGTTTGCAAACATAGGTTGGAAGGTCATATTTGACAAAACTATGAGGTTGCATCATATATACATTTTCATGAAGGTGTCCTTGCAAAAAAACGTTATTGATGTCCAGTTGTCTAAGAGGCCAATTTTGAGAGATGGCTAAGGAAAGAACAAGACGTTAAGTTTTAGGTTTACGGACTGGACTAAAGGTCTCTCTGTAATCGATTAGTGGACGTTGATGAAAACCCTTAGCAACAAGATGGGCTTTTAATCTATCAACGGGGCCATCTAGTTTGTATTTAGTTCAGTAAATCCAATTCCAACCAATTAGATTTTGGGTGTGAGATGGTGGTACAAGGGACCATGTTTGATTTTTTTTGAAGTGCATTAAACTCTTCTTGCATGGCAGAACAGCATGAAGGATTTTTGAGTGCTTGTGAAATAGTGTTTGGTTCGGTGGGATATGGAGGTTCAGATGTGTATTGTTGAAAATCAGAGTTGGAGTATTTTGGGTTAGCTTTGGGATTGGGCAGAGTAGTTATTTTAGAATGGGGAGGAGTATCTTCGATGTTGAGAGAGGGAGGAGGAGGTTGGATAAGTGAAGGAGCGAGAGGAGATGGTGGGGATGCAGGGGAGGTTATGGCAAAGTATGTTGGTTGGGGAAGGACCAGAGGTAATATAAATTGAGAAAGAAAGCCATTGATTTTGATTAGTTACATTAGGAGGTGGGTGGTTGTTGCTGAGTTTTGAAAATGGAAACTCCTCTTCAACAAAAATGGCATGGCAGGCAATGTAGAGTATATAAGATTTTGGATCATATGTATAATCGGCACTTTGAGTTGGTGAGTATCCAACAAAGACACAGGAAGTAGATCTAGGATGAAGTTTATGTGCGGAGTAGGGTCTTAGCCAGGGATAGCATAAGCATCCAAAACATTTTAGCTTTACATACTTTGGTTCTTTTGGAATAGGCATTAGAAAAGAGACAAGTAATGGAGAGTGGATGTTGGTAAGCGATTGATCAGATAGGCAGTAGTAGTGAATGCAAAAGGCCAAAATGTAATAGGGATGCTAGCATGAGAGAGGAGTGCTAGTCCAGTTCTGGCAATGTGTCTGTAACGCCCGTAGATCCGGGCTAGTCAATTTAGAGATAATAAGGGTCGAAAACAACTTTTCGACAAAAGATCATTTAGAATAAATAATCTTAACCAAGTTGTAGAATATGTCTCATGAGTTCCGTACATATAAAGAGCGCTGAAATCCGAGTTATAACGAAGAAGTTATGACCTGTCGAAGTTTAGCGACGGAACCGACACGGCACCGCGAAGACTTAAATAGTGAATTTATGATAGAGCTTCTTTTAGCCATAGTAATCTAAATGAAAGTAGTAGAATATGTTAACCTGAGAGCGTCCATAAAAAAACGCCCAAATCTGACTTCATATGAGGAAGTTATGATTTTTCGAAGTTTCGGTTTAGCGGTGTACAGCCTGAAGTTCGAGTATTAGATCGAGCAGTTTTTAGCCGACACAACCTAAACGAGAATCGAAGATCTCATTATTAGTAGCGTAACGATAAAAAGACAGATGAAAATGGACATTGGATAAAGAAGTTATGAGAATTTAACGGACCAATCCTGTTCCGGCCTGTTAAAAATATAACTTTAAAAATAAAGTCAAAATTAGCCGACGGAGTCTAAACAAAAGTTGAAGAGTACGTCTCCACCTACGCTTGGATATAAAGAACGTCAAAAACGGAGTTCGTATGAACAAGTTACAAATTATAATAGCATATTTACGTATTAAAATAAAGTATAAATCATATATACGTACACATATATATACATATGTATATATCATTAGAAAGGTATCGACGACGCGGTCATTATAAGACTAATGTTGAGTTCTTTCGACATTAGTTTAGTAAAAATATCGTTAAATCTATTTAAAATAGTATTATAAAGGGGTGTTTAGTTGTTTATATAACTAAAAGACCATTAAGTAATTATGGAGGGTAGTTTTTGTAAATTCAATTACTATAAACAAGAGGCTTGAGCTCTTATATTTCTTGCACCATTCTCTTGATTCAAAAGTCTTTCTCTCCTTATCCCCGAGCATTTCGGTCCCTCGTGATTCGACTTATGTTTCTGTAGTTTTTAGTATAGTAAGGTGAGCGCTGAAGCGCTGCACGAATCTTTCTTAGAAAGATTCAGCGACGAAGTTCTGCCCCTGCAGAGCCTGACTCCTAGCTAAAATCCCCTTGTAAGTAAGCTATGCTTACCCTATTTTAATATAGCTTATATTTAAAATTAATATTGCTATTATGAAATTATAATAAATATTTGAGCTATTATTATGACTTATATAAGTGTCGTTATAATATCTTTTTAGCTACTTGCGGTACGGGGAATCTGGTTTAAAGGGCCGCATAGGGTTGTTGGATTTTAGAAGTGTTATATGCCAAAATGGTCCTGCCCTCCGGTGTTTTATGTCTGGCCCATGTCTGTACATAGTGGTTGGAAAGTATTGTTTAAACGCTTATATAATAATAATAATAAGACTAATAATTAGTCACGGTAAATATTAGACTAAAATCTAATGGTAATAATACTAGGTTTCATCAAAGGAAATTATTTTAAAGTAAACGAAGCGTTGTCTGAGTACCGAGTCACCACCTTCTCAAGTGAGTGCATGGTCCCTTTCATCTTACACATAGATATGAAGTATTTTATTATAAATTACGTGCTATGTGTGCATATTGTCTGAATACTTGCTGTCTATGTTGGTGAAAGATTTTTATACATGTTTTAAATGATGTAAACTGTATAAAGTATTTTATATCTACAAAATATTTTGGGTAAAACATGGGTAGATGAATGATGAAGGATAAAAGTTGAAATAGAGGAACATTAGTAGCATGGGCCTAGTGCCCTATAGGTATACATTGGCAACAGTGGACCTAGTACCCTATAGATGAGCACTGGCAGCTGCGTCACAACCCGTAGATGTTTTAGATCTACAGTAAACGTCCTAGCAGCTGCGCTCTAAGGACACTATCGACAGCTGTGCCTAATAGGGAGCCTTATGACCATGACAGTAGCCTTTAAAGGTCAATACCGGCAGAAGCGCCTCATAGAAAATGTCCCAATTCTGGCAGCTGCGCCTAAGTGACAAGATTAGCAGCTGCGCTTGACCAATGTGTCATTGGCAACAATGGACTTCATGTTGTTTCCTTAGGATGATCCTTAGGAATGAATGAACGAGAAATAGTTGATTCTTAGGGTAGACCCTTAAGAATAAAGAAGATAATGGGGATGGGTAATTGGGTTGATTGTTTGATTATTTAAACATAATAATTATATTATTGTGGGTTGAAAACCTTATGTACTCACCAGGTTTCCCAACCTGACCCACTCAGTTTATTTATATCACAGGTGTTGATATGAAGTCACATTACACTGAGAGATTTAAAAGAGATGTAGATCACTAGTGTAAATAAATGTAAGTTCTGTTTATGCTTATGTTTCTGTATTGACGATGACATCCCAAATGTTTTAAAAGTAAATAAAAATATATTTCTTTAGAAATGATTTAATAACGCGATTATCATGTTTTTTTGGGAACAAATTCCGCAACATTTTTATTAAAAGAGATACTCTGATTTTTATAAAGCATAAACAAAAATCGGTCTTTTCTGGCCGTGAAAAATGGGGATGTCACAATGTCTATGTCTTCTGTCGACACATCCATCATGCTCAGGTGTATGTGTTGATGATTTGAAGTAGGTGATACCAAATGTAGAAAGATGATCTCGCATCTTTATGTATTCTCCACCATTATCAGAGAAATCGGCTGGATTTTGGTGTTAAAAAAATTTTCTACCAGTAATTGGAAACGAATGAATATCACTAGTGAATCAGATTTCCTATTCATGTGATACAACCATTTATATTTGATAAAATGATCAACAAAGATAATATAGTATTTGAAGTGATCAATAAATTCGATAAGGGAGCACCATACATCCGAAGATAAAAGATAAAAGACCTAATGGAGCATGAGATGTGAGAGATGAGGCATGAAAGGGTAAGGGATGACTTTTATTGATTTGAAAAGAGTTACAATTGTCAATAGTACTAGAATTAAACGAAAGTAAAGAAGATAATTGCTTGAGGACTTTATTTTGAGGGTGCCCCACACCAGTACGAAAATGACCTATAGACTCACCAAAAAATTGTGATCATATGCATATAGTGACATTTTATTTTTTCACTGAACGTGTGACTAAAGGTGAAGCCATCATATGGGTCTTATGGTCATTTTAAAATATAATTTATGTATGATATGAAAACTTGTGGCCATATTATAAAAATGTATCAAATGTGTGCGGAATTTTGTTCTTTAAATATCCAATATTGTAGCGTTAAACCGTCAATAGACACATTTATATGGTAATTGTGGTGACTGTATATCACAAACTGGTGACATTCATGATGTTTTAGTGTAGTTGTTTTCTTTTATATTGTCACACAATTTAAATTTTGTTAAGACGATTGTGTATCTTTTGTAAACATGTAATTACGGTGTGCATGACCATGTTTGCTAAATGGCTGACATGTAATTAATTCCATATGTGGAGACTTGCTAATAATTAGTCACAAAAAACAATCAATTTTTGTGACTATAGCCTATCGTATAGAGACACACAATTAAGTGAAATACAATCATAAGTATTATAAAGAGACACATTTTGTTAAAATTAAGGACTATGTGGTATCGTCTTAAGGCTATTGGGTATATTTTAGATACATATAATTACGGTGAGCATGACCATGTTCGGTAAATGGACACATATAATTTCTTTTGTAAGTGATGATTTGCTAGTATTTAGTCACAACAACAACCAATTATGGTATTCATTTGCCACATAAATTGTTTTTCATGTTGTCAATGTTTAACTTAGTCACAAAAACTTTAGAATAAACATCAGTTTAAAAAAACTATCGACTCATAATTCTTGTATATTATGACTATTGTTAACCATTTAGCCACATGTTAAAAAAATGATGTAAAGTAACCATTGTATAATTTTTGAGAGATTGAAAACCTATAAAACATGGTCAAATTTATATTAAATCCACTTTAATTTAATATTTATTGTTACTTTTTCTACATTGTAGACACATCAAAATAATTTAAATTAAAGTAACCAAGCCCAAAAATATGAAACAAAAGCAAAATTCATTATTTGATATTAGTAATAATTGAAATACAAATCCATATATTAAATTCCTAAGTAAAATACCAAAAAAAAAAATTGTCCTGATTTCAAGAATTTAAATAATGGTAAAAAAAATCGAACACATCATAAACAAAAACCTAAACATAACTAGGCATTCTTCGTGTTTATATTGCTCCTTGTCTTCTTGAGAAGGGCATCAGATGATATGTAAGTTGGTTTCCTTTTCTTTGAGTTTTGATGTTGATGTTCTTGATGTGATATAATTTCTGGTACCTATAACAACATTGAAATAAAAAATGAGTTCATCAAAAACTTAGTATACTACTTTATGAAGAAAATAAAGTGTAATGCACAAAATAGTGAACATAATTAAACAAACCTTTGACTTGGTTTGCACAAGGTATTTTGGCCACGGAACAAAACTTTTATATACATCCTCAAGAATGTGAATTCTTCAGTTGTATGGGGTAGAAATGCATGTTTTATTAGCACTTCATCAACGAAAACTCTATAGAAATCATCTTGTAGAGAAACTCCATGAATGAATTATCTTTCTGATAATAAGTGAACGGTACCACGAGCAACAATGTTCCTTTTATATAGATATGATAGACTATACTTGATTGGCTACAATGATAAGTAATATTAGAATCAGAAAAAAAAGACATAAATGTATATTCAACATGTAAAAAAACTGACCAGGTGAAGGGGTTTATTTGGTGAAACTTTTGGTATTCATGATTGATAGTGCAGTCTTAGACTCAACAGCTTTCCTGGTGGGTTTTGTATTTTCCTAATATAAAATTTTAAGACATATATGTAAAATTAAATTTTAATATAAACGATAAATTAAAATTATTGAAAATTGTAAAGTTATTATATACTACTGTTGTAGATTTCATTGAAATCAATTGTGTATCGGGAATTGCAGTTGCAGAGTTGGTTTGAACTTATTTCTTGGTGGGTTTTGCATAACCTAAATAAGTTAAAGTCCAAAGTGAAAAATAAAAAATTAGTACCAAAAAAAAGTATATCAATGATGATAGTGTAAGATGATAACATACTGGTGTTATAGGTTCTGATGGTTCCTTGGTTTTGAGACTAATAGGAGTCGTTTCACTACTTTCAATGATCTTCTCACTTGAAATACCCTAGCAAATATTAAAAAACATGGAAAATGTCTAAAAGAAATGCAATTTACAAGTAACATTTACAACAGATGTTGCTAATATGATTACTTACAACTGTATGAGATAAATTTGGAAAGTCAGCTCCTTTTGCATTAAGATGAGCCAAAACTAGCTTTAGTGTTTGATCTTGTTCATTAACCTTTGTAGACAAAGCCTTGAGTTCAGCATCTTTTTTCTCAAGCTCAAGTTTTCCATTATGCAGTGCAACTTTAAGATCTTTGATTTCTTCCTTAGATGATCCTTTATTGCGAGGAACATTGAAATATCTGTTGTAAGTAACTCCTATAGCGACACCCTTTAAAAATCCGGCCTTTTCCTTGCCAAAAACTAAGGTCATGGCATCCTTGCCTGGTTCAACATTTACTTGTACTTCTTTTATCTGATTTTCTTGTTCCATCTAGCACACAAAATATTAATAATTATTGTCCTAATAAAATTAATTAAAATCTTTACAGTAACAGTAATAAAAAAGTTTATTGAAGTTTCTAGTTTATCCGCCATGAGTTTAACATCTTCATCCTTAAATTCTCCTTTACTTTCATGTCCTTTACACCACATAATTTACATTGGGGGCATTTCTTCCTTTGAAATCACTTTCTCTTCAATCTTGATTAAAAAAATTAAATTGTAAAGAATATAAAGTAAAATTCTGTTAAGTACAATGCTATGAAGGTAATATAATAGGATCATATAGCTAAAAAAAGCTTACCAACTTCCACCTAAGAGTAGTATACCGCCTCGTCCCATCCGATCAGCATACTTTGACATCTTTCGCACTTTGATAGTCTTTTGTGACACAACCTGACAAAAAAAAAAAAATTCATGCACTTTTTGGTAATTTTATGATAAATAAATGAAGAAGTTTTGGAAAAAAACTTGTAACATTAAACTATTCAGAATGCGTATATGTCATGAATTTGTTCCAATCATCTTTTTTAGTAATTATTGCACGATATCGAACATGGATTTCTCCACGCTTTTTGGAATTGCCTAGATGTGGCTTGATGTAAGTTGTATACAATTTCCTTATGGAGTTTCGTAGAAGGATACCAAGTCTATTCATCACAAATTGTTTTCCAGTTTCATCAACTTCAAAATAGCGCTAAAATAAAACAATAATGAATTTTTTAGTATTTAATACATGATTTGTAATTAAAATATGAGATGCAGTTAAAAAAGGTGAAAAACATATTTACTATAATCTCTTCCCAAAGTTTGTCATTCACTTCCGCTTTACTTTCTTCCAGCAAAGAGCACTTAATCCCACCTTCTCGCGGACAAGATCTCCCAAATAACTAACAAACAATGCATTATTCTAACCTATAAACTTACCGAATTCATCAAACTTGACACGTTTTTTTTCTACCACCAGAATTGACATACTCGGTCTTCAGCTTTGGCAATCGTGTCAGGCCCCTCTTCGTAGGTGACCTTGTAGGAACTGTGCTTTTGATTTTTTTCTTCCGAATCTGAATGGCTATTATAGTCAATGTCCTTACTTTGACCATCTTTTGTGTCCAATTCATAAACTTGGGTACCATCATCTTGCTCATATTCTATATCATAGGCGGGCATATCCTGATGTTGTTCCTTGTTCACCTCTATGATTCTTCTGTTGACATGAAATGTATCAAATAAGTTTGATTATTTATATATTTAATGAAAAGGTATGAGTAACTTATATTACATACAAAATTTCACAGACACATTTCATCGAACATTTGGTTTGCAACAAGTAAAGTAATATGAAGAATAAAAAATTTTCTTTTTTATGTATAATCCCCTAATCAATACAATCAACAAAATTGACATCATACACAAACAATATACGTACATTAGAAATGCATGATGAATGTTGTCGAATGATGAACTGAATTATAATCCAACTAGGATATAGCTTAGAGAAAAACCATACAATGGTTGAAATTCATAGTTTTGGCGGTGAGATAGATGAATAATTCCCGCCTTGATTTGGAGCCAAAAACAAAATGGAAAAAAAATGTTTGCCTCCTATTATATTTGCTTAATTTTGATTGACGAATTCAAAAGTTTTCAAAATTTTGATCAGATAGTGAACCCACATGATGAGAAGCATAAATTGTGGTTTGGAAACATGTTCTGGTTTTTGAAACATTATTAAAAGTTATTTGATATTAATAGAAATGTTACAAATTTGGTTCTTGTAAATTAACAATTTTACGTTAGGATACAACTATATGACTATTGGAAATAAAAAAATATTTAACATTTAATTATGTATATACAATGGGAAAATAGTATAATAAAACGAAAATAAGAATAACATTTAGTTAGCTTACTAATTTTTCCGTGTGAACACTTTGTTATGATTTTTTATTTTATTTTATATTATGTAAGAAAAAAATCCATGCACCTACTATAAACCCATTGTGGTCCTAAACCCGTAGCAACACCCCTACCTGACATTGTAACGATCAACCCGTACCACCTGGAACCATACACCTACTATAAACCCATTATGGTCCTAAATCGTACCAACACCCCAACTTGACATTGTAACGATCAACCCGTACCACCAACCGACCACCTAGGACTAATACACCTACTATAAACCCATTGTGGTCCTAAACCCGTACCAACACCCCTACCTGACATTGTACCAATCAACTCGTACCACCAACCAACAACTTGGAATCCATACACCTACTATAAACCCATTGTGGTCCTAAACCCGTACCAACACCCCTACCTGATATTGTAATGATCAACCCATACCACCAACCGTCCACCTGGGACCCATAAACCTACTATAAACCCATTATGGTCCTAAATGCATACCAACACCCCTACCTGACATTGTAATGTGCATCCCGCAACACCAACCGACCATTTGTGACCCATACACCTACTATAAACATATTGTGGTCCTACACCTGTACAAACACTCCTACCTGACATAGTAATAGTCAACCTGTACCACCAACCGACAACCTGGGACCCAGACTCCCTTTTTAAACCTAGTGTAGTCCTGAAACCGTACCAACACCCCTACCTAACATTATAACGATCAACCTGTACCACTAACCGACCACCTGGGACCCATACACCTACTATAAATCCATTGTGGTCCTAAACCCGTACCAACACCCCTACCTGACATTGTAATGATCAACCCGTACCACCAACCGACCACCTAGGACCCATACACCTACTATAAACCCATTATGCCCCTAAACGCGTACCAACGCTCCTACCTGACATTGGAATGATTATCCCGTAACACCAACCGACCATTTGGGACCCATACACGTACTATAAACCCATTATGGTCCTAAACCGGTACCAACACCTATACCTGACATTATAAAGATCATCTCGTAACACTAACCGACCACTTGGGACCCATACACCTACTATAAGCCCATTGTAGTCCTAAACTCGTAACAACACCCCTACTTGACATTGTAACGCTAAACCCGTAGCACCAACCAGCCACCTGGAACCTATACACCTACTATAAACCCATTGTGGTCCTAAACCCACACCAACACATTGTAATGATCATCCTGTACCACCAACCGACCACCTGTAACCCATACACCTACTATAAACCCATTGTGGTCCTAAACCCATACCCACACCCTACCTGACATTATAACGATCAACCCGTAGCCCCAACCGACCACCTGGGACCCGTACACCTACTATAAACCCATTATGGTCCTAAACCCATTCCAACACCCCTGCCTGACATTGTAACGATCAACCCATACCACCAACCGACCACCTGGGACCCATACACCTAGAATAAACCCATTGTGGTCCTAAGCCCGTACCAACACCCTACCGAACATTGTAACAATCAATACGTACCACCAACGGACCACCTGTGACCCATACACCTACTATAAACCCATTGTGGTCCTAAATTCGTACCAACACCCCTACCTTTGATTGATGATCTCCAATTATTATTTGATATTGGAGTTGAAACGTACGATGCATATGTACAAGAGCAGTTTAATCTACGTACAGTTGTGTTATGGACTATTAATGATTATCCTGCTCTAGGTACATTAAGTGGTTGTCCTTATAGTAGATTTCAAGGTTGTGTTGTGTGTAGCGAACAAACACACTACATTAAACTCCCTTAATCGAATAAGCAAAGTTATGCTAATCATAGACGATTTCTACCGTATGATCACCCGTTCAGAAGACAAAAAAAGGCATTCAATGGACAACAAGATTTCTCACCCTCTCTAGAACCTATGAATGGGGAGGAAATATATAAAAGTGTCAAATTAATAATTAATAAATGCAGAAAGGCGTTTCAGGGCAATGAGGTAGAAATCCAAAATATACAATTGGAAGAGGTGGGAAGATTAATAAAAAAAGAGAAATCAAACTAAGTGGGTACTTCAGATGTGGGCCAGCAAAATAATACATACTAGAAGAAATTTAATATATGGTATAGACACCTAAGGTATTAGCATGACAATTTGATTCCACATTGTATAGATGTGGCTTCATGTAAGCTGCCTACAATTTCCTTTTGAAGTTTCGTAGAAGGATACCAAGTCTATTCATCACAAATTGTTTTCCGGTTTCATCAACTTCAAAATAGTGCTAAAGTGAAACAATAATGAATTTGTTAGCATTTAATATATGATTTGTAATTAAAATATGAGATGCAGTTAAAAAAGGTGAAAAAATATGTACTGTAATCTCTTCCCAAAGTTTGTCCTTCACTTCCGGTTTTACTTTCTTCCAACAAAGTGCACTTAATCCCACCTTCTCGCGGACAAGATCTACCAAATAACTAAAAACACTGCATTATTCTTCCCTATAAACTAACCAAATTCATTAAACTTGACACATTTTTTTTCTACCACCGGAATTGACATACTCGGTCTTCAGCTTTGGCAATCGAGTAAGGCCCCTCTTCGTAGGTAACCTTGTAGGAACTGTGCTTTGAATTTCTTCTTCTGAATCTGAATGGCTATTATAGTCAATGTCCTTATTTTCACCATCTTGCTCATATTCCATATCATAGGCGGGCATATCCTCATGTTGTTACTTGTTCACCTCTATGAGTCTTCTGTTGACATGAAACATATGAAATAAGTTTGATTATTTATATGTTCAATGAAAAGGTATGACTAATTTATATTACATACAAAATTTCACATACACATTTCATCGAACATTTGGTGTGCAACAAGCATAGTAATATGAAGAATCATGGATTTTCTGTTTTATGTATAATCCCCTAATCAATACAATCAATAACATTGACACCATACACAGAGAATATACTTACAGTAGAAGTGATGAATGTTGTCGAATGATGAACTGAATTATAATCCAACTGGGATATAACCTAGAGAAGAACCATACAACGGTTGAAAAAAACAAAGTCTTTTAAATATTACATTGTTAGTACATCCAAAATTAAGGGTTGTTACTAAATTTACCGGAATATCCTTGATCTAATGGATTGATCTTCATAGTTTTTGCGGTGAGATAGATGAATAATTCCCGCCTTGATTTGGAGCCCAAAACAAAATGGAAAAAAAAATGTTTGCCTCCTATTATATTTGCTTAATTTTTATTGACGAATTCAAAATATTTCAAAATTTTGATTAGATAGTGAACCCACACGATGAGAAGCACAAATCGTGGTTTGGAAACATGTTCTGGTTTTTGAAACATTATTACGAGTTATTTGATATTAATAGAAATGTTACAAATTTGGTCCTCGTAAATTAACAATTTCACGTTAGGATACAACTATATGACTATTGGAAATAAAAAATATTTAACATTTAATTATGTATATACAATGGGAAAATAGTATAATAAAACGAAAATAAGAATAAGGTTTACTTAGCTTATTAATTTTTCCGTTTGAACACTTTGTTAAGATTTTTTATTTTATTTTATATTTTGTAAGAAAAAAAATCCATACACCTACTATAAACCCATTTTGGTCCTAAACCCATACCAACACCCCTACCTGACATTGAAACGATCAACCCGTACCACCAACCGACCACGTAGGATTCGTACACTTACTCTAAACCCATTGTGGTCCTAAACATGTACGAACACCCATACCTGACATTTTAACGATCATCCTATAACACCAACCAACTACCTCGGACCCATACACCTACTATAAACCGATTGTGGTCCTAAACCCATATGAACACCCTTACCTGACATTGTAACGATCAACCTGTACCACCATCCGACCATCTGGGACCCATACACCTACTATAAACCCATTGTGATCCTAAAAACCGTACCAACACCCTACCTGACATTGTAATGATCAACCCATACCACCAAATGACAACCTAGAATCCATACACCTACTAGAAACCCATTGTGGTCCTAAACCCATACCAACACCCCTACCAGACATTGTAACGATAAACCTGTACCACCAACCGACCACTTGGGACCCATACACCTACTATGAACCCATTGTGGTCCTAAACGTGTACCAACACCCCTACCTGACATTGGAGCGATCATCCTGTAATACCAACTGACCACATGGGACCCATACACCTACTATAAACCTATTGTGG